CCCCGTGACTCCCGGAGGCCCCGCCCCTCCCCACCTGCAGCTCATCCAGGCCACTTCCAGGGGCTTTTCTGTGCAAGTGGCCTCTGGAGCCTCATGCTTAAGACTCTCCTAAAATCTCTCAAACAAGCAGCAGCTGCCCCATACGGCTTGATAAGCGGCCCCAGGCCTGGCACTAGCGGCAGCTGCATTGGCTCATAGCTGGGCCTCTCCTGGGCACCGCCAAGGGCAGCACAAGTAGCAGCCAACTACAGTTGCTGTGTAGCTCATGCTGGGTGGCCCTGGGCAAGGCACTGGCACAGGCTGACTTTGTACCTCCCAAGAGGCCCCAGAGACAGTGCACCTGGTGGTCAGACTCGACCATGGTGGACTACAACCCTACCACATCCATAAGTGACACTCAAGGGGCACACTTGGTGAACACCAATGCTCCACTGAAGCAAGTCCTGCTCCATAGGGGTGTCTCCAGCACAGCAGCTCTCTGGCTGTAGGTGCAGCTGGTCCTTACAGCTGATTGGGCTGGGGGTCAATTCCTCCCAGTGACACCAGCAGCAACTAAGGCTCAACTACAACAGGACAGTGCAGACAGCCCACACAGGGGAGCACTTAGAAGGCCCAACTCAGGTGACTGGGGAGGTTGAGCCACTACAGGACACCTACTACACAAAGCCACTCTACAAATTCCAGGACACATAGCAGCTTTACCTAATACATAGAAACAAATACTTGGAAGCAGCCAAAATGTGGAGGCAAAGNTACTTGGAAGCAGCCAAAATGTGGAGGCAAAGACACATGTCTCAAAAGAAAGAACAGAAGAAATCTCTAGAAGAGGAACTAAATGAAATAGGTCCAAGCAAGCTAACAGATACAGAGTTCAGAACTTTGTTTATAAGGATGTTTAAGCAGACTATTAGAGAAATAACTGAGAAAATTGATAACATAATAAAGTAGCAATTTGAAATGAAACCTACAGAACTGAAATGAAGAATAATTTACAGGGAATCAACAGTAGAGTAGAGGATGCTGAGAATCCAATCAGCAATTTAGAACATGAGGAAACAAAAAACACCCAACCAGAAGAGAAAAAAGAAAAAAAAATCCAGAAATATGAAAATAGCATAAGGAGCCTCTGGGACAACTTTAAGAGGCCCAACATTTGTATTATTGGGGTGTCAAGAGGGGAAGAAAGAGAGCAAGAAATTGAAAACCTATTTG